ACCTGCGAGTGCCACGACACGCTGAACTCGGGCACGTTGGGGGACAGCGCCCACAGCCTGCGGGGGGGACAGCAAAGGGTCAGCGTGGGCCGCAGTGGCATAGCACGTCGACTGTCATCCTTTTTCCACGTCTCGCACTCACCTCACGATGACCGAGTTGAGCTTCCAGGGCAGGTCGAAGGTCTTCCTGGAGTCGCGCGGGCAGAACGTGAAGATCGGCCGGGACACGTCCTCGTCCTCGTTGTAGCGGTGGATGGTGATGTTCCACGTGCCGCACGGCTCTGGGGGGGAGGACAAGGCAGAGTCAGACAAAGCCACGGACGGGCGGGACGGGCAGAGCCAGGGACCGGTGGACAGACACGTACGGCTCTGCGGCGTGGTGACGGTGATGCGCAGCTCGCGCTCGATGTTGGACAGCAGCACCCACTTGCAGTCCATGTGCACGAAGTGGTTGCGCCGCTCGTCGGAGCGCACCCGCCACGACTCGATGGTGCCCGAGTGGAGCAGGATCTGCTGGCGGCCGCAGGCGCCGTCCTGCTGGAAGCTGTAGTCCGCCTGCATGGAGAAGCCCTTCATGGCCCACGTGAAGTGCGCCACGTTGTACTCGAGGCTCAGCGGGCCCCACGACCGGATGCTCAGCGGCATCGGGATTTTCTGCGCAATTCGGACAGACATGTCATGACCCCGATCGTAACGTAAATGACGGGTACTTGCGAGGGTAACTTCAGTATACATTGAATTTAATCGAACGAATAAAGAACCCCTTGGGTCCCTGCCCTGGGTCTCACCTGAGGGTCCCCGCACAGGCACGACAGGTCGTACCCCGCAGGGTCCATGATGCGCACGTGGTCCACGGTGGAGAGCGGGGTCGGGTCAGAGAAGCAGCGGCAGCCGAGGCCGTCGCAGTACGTCCAGCAGCCAGGGTCCGTCTTAAGCCCCAGGGCGGCCAGCTGCGGAAACAACACAAAGGACATTGCCGTGAATACCGATAGGAGGCTAAAGTTTTAAACATATTATTAGTCTCGAGGGGTAAGCGACTCGCCTCGGCACTTTCGGCCAAGTCCAGAAAATTTCAGTAGGATATTTTTAAGAGTATTATAAATATATCATGAAAAATTTTGAGGTCTTATGGTGAAGTATTTTGAGAAATCATGAGATCTACCGGGCCCGCGTACAGAGTGTTGTGTGAGTCGCTGACCCCTCTCAATTTTGTATTCAGCCACGAACTTTTCTCTTCAAAAGTCAAAAAAGCTCGACACATTTCATTGTTTTAACTTTCTGTTATTTGTTAACTCGCTGGCATACTCACGCTGAGGGTGACGCTCTGGCCGGGCTGCGGCTCGAAGGTCTGCGTGCACTTGAGCTGGCCCTGGACGTTCCAGAAGAGGTGCTGGTTACCGGGGCTGGTGATGCTGCCGGCCCAGCCGGGCCCGCCCGCGGCCGGCACGGGCAGCGCCAGCGCCTGCAGCGCGCCCGCCGCATCCGCGTCGCCGCCGGCCCCCCACGGCTCGGCCTGAAGGGAGAGGAGCAGAGGGACTCCATGACGAGCTGCGCGAGTGCGGGCCGGGCACGGCCTGGGCACGGCCCTCACCGGTGCCACGCCACGCCACGCCACGTGCTAACCCAGGGCTTATATACGTTGTTAACGGCAAACAAACCACACATACATGCATGCATGTGCGCGCGCGCGCGCACACGCACACACACACACACACACACACACACACACACACACACACACACACCATTCACAGTGGGGGCGGAACGCGCGCTGGTACCAGCGGTATGCCAGAGGGCCAGCAGCGGTAGAATACGACCAAAGTTGCGCCGTCCGTACGTATTCGCCCCGGGCCGGCCGCGGAGTGTGGCATGGCGCAGCGTAGCGCCGTAGGGGCCGCAGGTCTAGGGGAGAGAGGCCCTTATTTCGGGAAGTACTGAACTTATTTCTCTCCCATGAACTCTCCCCCGGGGCCGCACTGTGGCTGTGCTGTGCCCTCTCCCCCGCCCACGGCATCCATCTCAGGGCACCGAAGAGGCCGGACTAGGGCCGGCGAAAGGAAAAATGCACTCGCAATATCACAGACTGTACGTTACTTGCAATTGCGCAGTATAGAGGTTCATGTAAATCGGGTGAGTTTACAATGGCGGTGGCGTGTACGTGCCCTAGTGTGCGTGCGGGGGGAGCGCGTAAGGGCTTAGGGGCAGCTTACACGGCACGGTCCGAACAGATCTTCCGCAGGCTGCCACCACGGGGCGGCGGGGCGGGCCGGGACTGTTTCGCGGGAGGGATTACGAAGAGAGAGGAAGAGAGAGAGAGGGGAAGAGAGTGACAGAGAAAGAGTGAGAGAGAGAAAGAGAGAGAGAGAGATGCAGAGGGGAATGGAGGGAGGGACATAGGGACAGAAGGAAGGGAAGGGGCAGGGGACAGGACGGGGGAGAGAGAGAGAGAGAGAGAGAGAGAGAGAGAGAGAGAGAGAGAGAGAGAGAGAGAGAGGGCAGACTGTCTCTCCTCTTTCCCCTCGTCGCTTCAAGCTCAGCCCGTCAGGAGATTCATTGGTCGGCGTGTCACAGCGTAATGAGCAGGTGCCGTGAGCCACACTCAGCCGGGCGTGTGTGCTGCTTAGCGCGTCGCCGCCGTCAGAGGTGTTAGCGCCAAGTGTGTTCTCATACAGAAAGAGGAGGGGGGAGGGGTGAAATCTGAAAGACTCTGGTTTGTCAACAACATCAACACAGCGCACGAAAAAAAAAAGAGATTGTCGTGGGGATCAGTTATGTATGGTAGGCTAAATTCGATAATTGGAATAAAAAAATCCGATCCTCACAAGCAGGAGTTGGTTGTCACGACTGGACACCTGTACGAATGAAACCAAGCTGGAGTTTGTTCTATTCGTACAAGTGTCCGAACATGGCGAAAAACTCCCGGTTGTAGGTATCGAATTCTCGAATCCAGCTATCGAATTTAGCCTACCAAACAATTGATCCTCACAACAAAGTCATTTTTTTCCGTGTGTTCTTAATTTTAAGAACATTTTCTGATTGAAAAAGAAAAACATCCTGCTCTGTGTTTGAGAGCATTCTTCTGAAAACAAGCGCAATAATGCACCCTAAGAAATCAAAGTTGGCGAATAGTAAAGTCAAGAACTCATTTTTGGGTGTCGCACCTGGTCGGCGGCGGGCGTGGTGCCTGGGACCTTGCCCTCGGCCGCGGCCTTGGCCGCCGCCGCCACGGCCGCCGTCACGTTGGGCCCCAAGAAGCGCGCGCTGCACAGCGAGTCCGGCTCCGGGTGGCCCTGCGTCGACTCTGGAAAGCAGAAGAAACACGTTATGAGCAACCTCGTCGTCAGCGGTGAACAGTCGGTCGGGTGAGCAAGCCGAGGCGGGATCAGATTCTGAACAGTCTTTGAGGGCGAATGACGCAAGCGGTTGACGCAAAGGAGCTGCTGTGCTGGGAGTGATTGGGGGGCTCGGGGGTGAGAAGTGTCGGGGAGGGAGGTAGAACACAGGGGGGGTCTTTGATTCGGGAGCCGTGGGCACGAGAACGAGGTTTCGCGTAACACGATTGTCTGGCTTCGCCGCCGCGGCAGCCTCGCTGCAGCAGACGAGCACGAGCAGTGGGGAGATGTCGGGCGCGGTTGGGCGAGGTGGGGTGGAGCAGGCTGAGAGCCGGGTATCGGTGAGTAGTACCCGAGCGCGGTATGGGGCTGCCCGGGGGCGGGCAATATATACGAGGGCCACCCGGGTACCTGACCCACCCCAACCGCAACCCACCGCACCGTCCTGAAGCAAGAACACGCCGTGTGCAGCATGCAGCACTCACTGTCGTGGAAGAGGAAGGCGCCGTCGACAAACTCCTGGTCCGCCCGCAGCGAGGCCGTGCGGACGAGGTGCAGCGCCATGTGGGAGCCCCTCGACATCATGGTCTGCTGGCTCTGAAACCTGCACAACAGCATAGCATGAGCATACTCGGTGCACCCATACAAATGTTTTCAGTCAGCACGACAAATTATTCTAAAAAAAAACACGTAACAGGAAATCTGTTTGCTTCGGTCCAAGAATTATTTCTTGCATCAATAAAAAATATGTTAGAGCAAGAAAGTTTTCTACAATCAAGCAACAAAAATATTCTAAAATGAAGCAACACGTTTTAGAAAAAGGAAGCATAATTTTATGATTCAAAAAAATAATAATTCTAGTCCGTTTTTAAGAATAACCTTGTTATCTATGGAAAACTTTCTTTGTCAAAGGTATTGCAATTAATTTACGGTGCTTACCTTCCCGACGGGTCGTGAGCGTGCTTCGTCATGGGACTGCAGAGTCGCTTGTCGGGCGTCGCCAGGTCGGGCCCCAGGAAGATGTCGAAGTGCGAAGCGCACGAAGGAGCCCTGCCGAACAGAATAATGGCATAGCCAGGTCAGTCGCGTCGCACAAAACGACACAAACTTGAATCATCCAACGTTTTCCGCAAACCTATATCTATCGAGGTAGAAAACAAAAATGCGCGCGAAACCAGAGAGAAAGCAACAA